GACAAATATGAGGATTTGGAAGTTTGAGGACTTGCAAGTTTGAGGTCTTGAAAATTTACAAACGTGGCTATTTGATGATTTGGTGACTTAGGAAAATTTTTTAAAGAATTTTAAAGACTTGGTGACTCAGGAAAATTTCTGAAGGAATTTTTAAAGCTTGGTAAGTGAAGAATTTAAAAAAATAAGCACACGAAAATTCCATAACATTCAAACTTGAAAAATTGTAAAACTAAAAATCTACATCCGATTATAAAATTTCCAAAGTACAATTTTTAACAATTTTCAAAAAATCCAAAATGTATATAATTCAAAACTCTAAACACCTAAAAGAAATATTATAACAAACTAAAAAAAAAATAAAATTGAAGTGTCCACCCCAGTATTCCCCAGAGAGAACTAACATGTCCGCAGTGCGTTGAAAATAGAGAAAAGTCGATCGAATCCGTTATTTAATAAACGTAGAAGATTTCCAATCGCTATTTGCGTCGAATTGAATCACCGGAAGCTATGAAACTTTTGCGAAATCAAAGAACGGATACGCGCTGTGTGTCAGGGGAGCGAAATGCACGATTCTTACCACTTAATCCTCGGACAGAAATGCCGGGATTTCGATCTGGTCCGGTATAGAAGTTCCAAGTAATTTTTTTATTCCCGCTCGGTCAGAGCCACGGGGATGATCTTCAATCTACGAAATAGAGAGACCAGATTGAATGCGGTGGCGTAAAAGTATCGGGGAAATTGTTTTTCGAAATTTGTTTCGGCAGCATGCTGGCCCGTTTCTCGATTAACGAGCAACGTTTTACCGCTCTTTGATTTGTTTCCGCTGGCTGGAAATTAGGACGTCGAAATTTCGGATACAACCGTCTACCAACCAGACTTGGACATTATTTCGAGTAACCTTCTCACACAACTTTCGAATAAACAAAATATTTGTTAACAATCGATCAGTGTTGTAGTCGATCTTCATTTCCTTAAATTTTTCTTGCAAACTTATTAGAATTATTCAAAATTGAGGTTATGTTTATTTTGTTTGAAATAGAATGAATTCAATTACAAATTATTTTTAAGCACCATTTCAAATATTTGAATTTATTCAAAATTTGTGGTAGAAAATTAGATGAAATAATGCCCAACTCTGCTACCAACAAGAATTTTCAATGCACGTTCCACAGATTTTCACGGATTTTATCGTTTATTCTAACAGAGGGAATTATAGTGGAGAACTTCGTTTAGCAGATGTTTATTAAAGATCAAATGTGGGAGATTTTATACTACTTATAAATATTGTCGAGATTTTATTAGCTTGTGTAATGTGACGTTTACATGAGCTTATAAATATCGTGAAGGGGTTGAAATCAAATTTCTGTGAATTCATGAAGTTTTGAAAGGGATTAGACTAGTACTTTACACAGACGTGGATCAGTGATGTACTGAAATCCAATTAAAAATTTAGGGGATGAAGTTTGAAAGCTTTGAAAAGCTTCACTAAATTGAGCTTGAGAATTTAAAGAATTAGGGGCTGTGAAGTTTCATGATCTAGGGATTTATAATTTAAAAAATTTTGCAATTTGTAAATTTAATTTAGAAAGTCTTGCAGTAACTGCTACACTAAGAAATTAATAAATATAGATACACTGTGTGAGCCCAGGGACGTAAATTAATTGTGACAAAATAACTAATTCTTTTTATTTAAAAAGTTCCGTTATTTATCCGACATACTGTGTACACATAATTACTAATAATTAGAGCAGTAATTTTGAAACAATGTAGTTAACAAATTTATAGGTAAACTGCTAGTTAACTAATGAAATATTAATCGAAGCCCCGAGTGTTTGTCCACGGGCCATCACTGATCCACGATCGAACTGTTGTTAGAAATTAAGTAACCGTGTGTGGGTGTTGATCAATTTCGATGGGGGGTGGATTCGTTCGGTGGTTTGGCGAGCTCGCTAGGCGTTAAATTATAAAGTGGCCGATCGCGAATTGGCACCCCGTCGCGCAAATATTGCGTAATGCCGCGTAATAATTGAAACCGCACTGTTTCTGTGTGCCGTTAGTGTTCGATAAACAAATAAAGCCGTTCATATTTGAACGTCGTCGAAAAAGGCAATTAATTACAAAGTACCCTCGATCGTGTTTCCCGTCCCCTCTTCTCTATCAGAATTCGCACACGGTATATTTTTTTTATTAATTTATAACGGAGAAACTCCTACGTTTATATAGATACCACGTACATTCTTTTCCCTTAATTTTTAGCGAAGTCGTAGAATTCGAAAAACTGATTAAACGTTACACGATTAACCGATGCTAACGAGAGATGTGCCTATTTAATAGGAAACATGTTCGCCTCGTGATCTATTATTTGTCCACGATCGTTTCGATCGAGCCTCCGCTCGATTATGTTCCTTTATCTCCGTGTAGAGTATTATACAACGGTTACGTTATTATTACACGCGAGACGCGACTCGTTCCCGAGAAAGTTTTCCATCCCCCGGGGCACGAAACGGGGCAACCATGCGAACTTACGAACCCTACTTCGCGGTTTCTTTTCCAATTCCCGGTGAGCGCGAACAAACTTCCCGTTGTCCTATCTCAGTTTCTCCAACTTGTTTCCCGGTCTCGTGCCCGCCTACGAGACACCATTTTTTCGATTTTGGAACGAAAACTCTCTCCACGGATCGCGACGACCCTCTTATATACACGCATGCGCTCACTATACATATCTACAGAGATCCAAAATAATCTTCTTGAAAAAGTCCAGTACAAATTAATTTCGAGTTGAGTTTATGGAAATTTCAACGATCGGAAATTTTTACTTTGGTTACGAATAAGCATTCTTTCGTTGAACCTCCATTTTATTAAACAGTTCTTTTCGATAAACTCATGGTAGCACCTCAATTTTATTAAACAGGTAATTTTTTGGTTAAACTCATGGTAGCACCGTAATTTTATTAAACAGGTAATTTTTTGGTTAAACTCATGGTAGCAATTTATCAATTTTATCTCAATTTTATCAAACAGTTAATCTTTGATTCAATAACAAATAAATTACTGATTATAATTCTCTTTGGTTAACAAAATAATTTCGTCATCATTAAATATTCGTAAATTATTTGTAATGAAAAATGAGACGAATATTGTTTACAAAATTTTTTTACGACTACCAGTACACAAAAAAACTGAAACAGTGTACCTATAAAAAAATTTGATATTCCACTTGCAGGCAAGAGAGATTTTGATGGTTATTCGTAATCAAAATAACGAGAACGAAAGAGTGAAGTCTTACGCCATAACCTCTAAAATTTGTCTTATAACAGTTATGTCTGCATATCTACATATTCACGTACATCGATAATAGTGGATTGTCGCGACGTTTAATTTACAATCGGACCGTGTGTCGTTTGCCGAAGGAACTCAGAGGAGGATGAATATCGTGGATGTACTCCGTTCGTTGGCGAGGTCGAAGGGAAAAGTTTCGAGGGAAAACACGAGGATACAGGAAAAAGTTCCTGCGGTTTTTTGTGTCGGAGATAAATTCAAATTAAATATTTTTCCGCTATTCCGAAACAAATGGATATAAATCAAGGTTATGTTACTTATGATGGCGATGTTTTTTCGTAACTTTTCAAAACCTTCTCAAAGTTTTAAATATTCGGTAGAAATATTTTTGCAAAGCTCTTTCATAAAATATTTGTTTTCTGTTCTTTCACGGAAATGGAAGAATTAGGTTAGGTTTGAAATGTAACAGTTAGTTTTTAAATGTAACAAGTTAGTTTTTAAATGTAACAGTTAGGTTAGTTTTCAAATGTAACAGTTAGGTTAGTTTTCAAGTGGAAGTTAGGTTAGTTTTCAAATGTAACAGTTAGTTTTGAAAAGTAATCAGGTTAGTTTTTCTTGAAACGAAGGTTTTTCAATTATACCGATATTTTAGAATTGAAATAAACATGAAAATGGTGGTTGATGGTAGCAAAATTAATATTAAATCCGCATGTACTTTTTCCGACACCCCGACTGTCTCGTTTTACCGAGAGAATCGCGCCCACAAACGTCCTTCGGAGACATCCCTTGCCAACGTTCGACGAGGCCTCCCTAGAGAAAATGGCGGAGGGAAACCGATCTCTATTCATCTATTTCCAAACTTACTAATGTACAAATTTGAGAATATATAAATGTCTAACCTCGTAAAATGGTAATTTGAGAAATTTATAAAATCGTGTATGCATCTGAATATTTTAGAAATATTGAAAAGAAAGAAACAGTGAAAAAAATTAAAAGTAGCGTACATTAAAAAATTTGACCTCATCAATTTAGGACTTGAACGATTTCATAAATGCATAAAAATAAAGTTACAGAAAATTTGTAATTTACAGACTTGCTTTGCAAATTTATTTAGTAAAGAATTTGTGCATCTGTAAATTTCGGAAAGTTATTAGAAAGATTGCAGAAGATCGATCTCCCTCAGCCAGGATTTGACTCTAACCCGAGTGTACAATCAGTTCTAGCGTCCTCGAGTTCGCGTAGATACCCGTCGCGATATCCCATCTGTCTTCGACGGTGTCACGTTGAATCGACAAGCATTCGTAAGTTGTATCGAGGGTTCGAGCAGCTGTTGCTGAAACTTCCCTGTTAGTCCAGGATTCGGCTCATAGAGGATTCATGACCGTCACTGGTAACCGGGTTATCGAATTTGTCGTGTTTCGTTTTCGAGACGTTCCGTCGAGCACGTATCCGGCGACGATTCGACGCGAGTATACTCGATCGCATATTTCTCGGCTCGCGAATTCCCCGAGACGACATCTGGACAGGAATTTGCGCCGCGGTATCGCGATTCCGTGCTCGAAATTTCACCGAGTTTCCGTCGGAAAGTTTTTCGAGAAGCGAGCGCGAATCTCTCGGGTATAAACGTGTTTTTCTCAGCCTCTCCGCCGGGACGCGCTTTCGAGAGCGTCGACTTTTTCCTCGCGATGCTCGGAATTCGACCCGAATTAACCGACATCGCGATTCGACCGTTTTCATTTGAACAGTATACGACGGAACGCGCGTCGAAAGTCCTTGTTGAAGACGGTGTAAATGAACGGGTTCAGGGCAGAGTTCATGTATCCCAGCCAGAACGCGATCACGAACGCTTGGGTGGGTATTTCGACGTCCGGGAACAGAGGTTTCGCGATGTACAGGACGAAAAAGGGCAGCCAGCAGGCGATGAAGCTGCCCATAATGAAACCGAGTATCAGAGTGGCTCGTTTCTCCTTCTTTCTCGCCAGTCTCCTCTTCTCTCTCTCGGGGTCGCGCGGCTTCGACGATTTGCCCTCGCCTGAGTCGTCCTTGCCCGCCGAGCGACCACCGTCCCCGTGCTCCCGTCGCAGCTTGCCCAGGTTCTTGCGACCGAAGATCGGCTGGCAAAGGCGCAGCTTCAACGGCTTCACCACGGCGCATCTCGACACCACGCCGCTGTCCGACGACGAGGGATCGAACTCGGAAACCATGTCGACGTCGATGCCCACGCTAGGCGCCCGGCAGCGCGACGGCACGCTCGACTGACCGTCGCCGTTCACCGACAGCGTCGCCTTCAGACTGCTCTTCTGCACCGGCATAGGGATCGTTACCTGCACATAATGTTACATCTTCACGTTTTTCAGAAATGATTGGATTAATTATTAAGTGGTCTCAGCGATGGGAGACCGAGGAGACATTGTTAGTTTGATAGGCAATGGCTGGTCTGAACATGGACCGCAAGGTTGGAGTAGTCATTTCAACCCCTACACTCAGTTACACCTTCACATTTCTTATAAATAATGACTAGGTTAATTATCCTGGAAGAATGGTGGTCTTAACAGCAATGGAAGAGCAAGGAGACATTGTCAGTTTGACAACCAATGCACATGGCTGGTCTGCACATGGTCTCCAAAGTTGGAGGAGTCATTTTAACCTCTGCATGCAACAGTCACATCATCTTAATATTTTTCATAAATAATGACTAGGTTAATTATCCTGGAAGAATGGTGGTCTTAACAGCAATGGAAGAGCAAGGAGACATTGTCAGTTTGATAATCAATGCACATGGCTAGTCTGCACATGGACTCCAAAGTTGGAGGAGTCATTTTAACCTCTGCATGCAACAGTCACATCATCTTAATATTTTTCATAAATAATTACTAGGTTAATTATCCTGGAAGAATGGTGGTCTTGATAGCAATGGAAGAGCAAGGAGACACTGTCAGTCTAACAACCAATGCACATGGCTGGTCTGCACATGGACCCTAAAGTTAGAGTCACTTTAACCCATTGCATGTGGAATGTGGCTCTACATCACATGTCTCTTATATGTATATGTATATGTACATGAATATGTATGTTATCATTTATTTGCTACTTATAATAAAAGATAACTGCATTTGTCACATGCTCCGTCTTGTTGCAACACATTTTATGGGACTCTCCTATCTTCATCCATTTTGTAAATTGAAAAGTAGGTAGGTAAAAGAAATTGAGGAGTGTACAGAGTTAAACATATTTAATTTTGTATGGATGTTTGAATAGGGATGTTTGATAAGCTTGAACATATTGAAATGTATCTTTACAATTTGACAAACTGGTCTGATATTAAATTTGATAAATTTCAAAAATTACAGATCTCAAACCCACATAATTAGAATCGGTGAAACTCTGAAGCGTCGAAAGATAAATCCTCGTTCAGGAAGATAAAGTGCCCAGTCGAATCTCCGACGAGAGTATATATCACGCGGTACCCGCGGAGCTAGCGATCCGTGTGATTTCATAGAGGATCTCATAAATGTTCATTCGGCGACAAGGAGTCCCTTCGATTGAAAATAACGGAGCCTCTCGTCGGCAACTTCTAATTCGATCGAATGGTAGTTTACGAGCGGCGATCAAAAGTAGCAATTTCTGCGTTCTGTGATCGATACGTCGGACGCGTTATTGTGACCCTTTCTTCGGAGAAATCGAATGGCTTCGGATTTACTGCCACTTTTATGCGCCACCAGATTTCAGGGATTATATTCGGATTCCGAAACTGAAGTTATTGAATAAGTAGGTGTCTTTGAACGCGCTCGAAACCGGGCATGTCAACAGAGTTTGCCGAGCAAAGTACTGAACGGTAATTTTTTCACGGGGTCGTTTGATACCCGTGACAAACGATAATGTCTGCTGAGCTCCGAATTCAGACCGTATATGCATTAAAGCGGCTGGTCCTACGCGTGGAATTTGAAACGAGTGCTCGTAACTCGACCGTGATTGATGGTCCGATTCGCGTGCGAGTCGTGCTTCGGAATAATGTTGTTAAACATACAGAATCATCCACTCTACGCCGGTCGTGAATGGGGCTCGTTTGTTATCGGGCATATACGGTGTTCAAAAATACCAGTCGATATTTGCGCCACACTTTTGACGAAACTCTTTGACGAAGGACGTGTATGACTTGGTTATTTTTGTGAATGTGTGTATGTGTGTGCGTGTCTTTGTGTGTTCGTACGTGTGCAGGTGGAAGTGCATGTGTGCATATGTTCATATGTGTACAGGTGCATGTGTGTGTATGTTCACATATGTCCAAGTACATGTGTGTGTATGTTCATATGTGTACAGATGCATCTGTGTGTATGTTCACATATGTGCAGGTGCATCTGTGTGTATGTTCATATGTGTACAAGTGCATGTGTGTGTATGTTCACATATGTACAGGTACATGTGTGTGTATGTTCATATGTGTACAGATGCATGTGTGTATATGCCCATATGTGTACAGGTACATGTGTGTGTATGTTCATATGTGTACAGGTGCTCCTTTCATTTCACATACGCAGGTTCAGTATCCAACCACCTAACCACACTTCATCCTCTAAAAAACCTATCTAAGTTAAATCTAAATCTTCAACAAACCTTGAGAGTGTCTTTCTCCTCCATAGGTATGCTGCTTCCTCCGCCAGGGTCCGCTTCGGAGGTGCTGACGTCACTAGCAAAATCGCAAGTGACTATAGGAATCTGAACCGGCTGGTTCTCGATGGTGGCCACGTTCTCCATCACGGAACCCGGTGGTTTCTTCGATTCCGTGGCAGGTGTGCTTTGGGTGAAACTAGTCTGTCTGACGTCTGGTGATTCGGGTGGTACCACTGCGCGAGGACGAGGCTGCTTGCGAATGCCTCGACGCGCTCGGGCCTTCGCCGCGAAGTAGATGCGTATGTACACGAACACCATGATGCACGAGGGGATGTAGAAGCTGCCCAGAGCGGAGTAGAGGACGTAACCGATGTCCTCTGAGAGCTGCAACAAGAACCAGTGACAACTAAATAAAGTATGATCCAATATTCATATGCATCACATATCCATATGTCCCTATCACTATCTCCCACTATCCTCACATCTCAACGTCTCAAAAGTCCCAATATCCATATGTGTCACATATTCCTATGCCTCACTATCCTCACATCCCAGTATCTCAAAAGTTCCAATATCCATATGTGTCACATATCGGTATGTCCCACTATCCTCACATCCCAGTGTCTCACAAGTCCCAATATCCATATGTGTCACATATCACTATCTCCCACTATCCTCACATCCCAACACTTTAAAGGTCCCAATATCCATATGTGTCACATATCCATATGTCCCACTATCCTCACATCTCAACATCTCAAAAGTTCCAATATCCATATGTGTCACATATCCCTATCTCCCACTATCCTCACATCCCAACACCTCAAAGGTCCCAATATCCATATGTGTCACATATCCCTACCTCCCACTATCCTCACATCTCAACATCTCAAAAGTTCCAATATCCATATGTGTCACATATTCCTATGCCCCACAAGCCTCACATCCCAGTATCTCAAAAGTCCCAATATCCATATGTGTCACATATCCCTATGTCCCACTATCTTCACATCCCAACACCTCAAAAATCCCAACATCCTACACCTCTCCTACAACCCCAAATCCCAATATCCCCAAAATCCCTAAGTTCCAACACCCAAAAGTAATAAACTGAAACGTACAGAATACACCTAATATTGCAAAGTACGAAAGTCCGAACCTAAATTTTCCAGCGTCCCATCGTCCGAAAGTCCCGGTTGGTTCCGGCTCGGTTAGCATATCATTTAGATGGCCGTATTCATAATACTTTTATGGTCACGCGGGTAACGCAAGCAAAACTGGGTTACAGTGATGTGTACGTACGAGCACGTATAGCAGGGGGTGCACGTGAAATACGAGTATGTGTATACGTGCGCCGTGCACGCGTTAGAGTTTAATTCAATTTAATTTACGACGCGGTTCCGCGAACTAGCCGGAATAAAACGAACCACCGCCCCCGAACAGAGGACGTTTGATTCCGTGTAATAACTTCTTCGCGTTGCATTTGCATTTGAATTATGCGCGAAACGACAACATTTATTTATTAACAGTGTCCTTTTTCAATTACCAAATGGAACTTTTTTAATTCGAAATTTTTGCTAAATTCATTTGCCTGACGCGTGAGGCGCTGCTGTACAAAATGGACGTGCAAAACACGATACTGGATGAAAGTAGAAAATGGATCCACCGACTGGATCAGATCGTGGCTCAGACTTGCAATAGGATCTAACGTAGACCGGTGTAGCGAACCGTAACACAAAGTAATCCCTGTATCGCATTACGTCCGACCACATTCTACTTTAACGCTATCCATTTACTTTGTGCACGATAGAACGGCATTCTAGCGGAAGGACATTCGATCTTCGAATTTCTTTCAGGATGCGCTTCTTTGTCTTTCGTTGGCACACATTTTAAGGTCTCGAGTTCTACTCAAAATGTATACGTACAAACTTGACACGGAGTCTTGGTATGTGTCCTCGCAAAGTTCTGAGAGTCACGAAATTCCTGTATTCCTGATCTGAAGTTCAAATATCAGTTGAAGCTAACTTCCTAATATCCCTTCGACCTAATATCAGAAATATCCCAATATTTCCACGATCCAATATATTGTTCTCGACTCATGTAAGGTCAGAAGTTTCGTCGTGAAACGATTAGCACGTATAAAATTTAATCTCTCAACGTTGAACGTTTAATCTTCCCTTTTCGTGGCCGTTGGCCGTTTTCCTTTCTTTTCATAGCACCGTTACGCGAGCGGTCTCATGAATGTGACATCCGACCGTTGGACGGCTTTTTCTCACCGGTTCTGGTTAAGAAAATTGAAAAAACCTCCACTCGGTTCGTACCTCGCAAACACGTGGAACAAATGACTCCTTTCAGAATATGTGAGGTAGAATAATAATTTCTGCTGTTCATTTTTTATTCGCTGAATAGAACATCTTTCTGGGTTTCTAGGTGTTTAGATTTTTAGATCTTAAGATATCTTCAAAACTCTTTATTCAGATGCAGGTGCCCTCAATTTTTTATATTGCTTAATTCTAAGAGTTTGAAATCAGTTGATTCAGGGTTCTTTAGATTCTTATACAGGGTCACAACTAGTGCAGTGAAATGGAAAGTAGCTGACATGCTTTCTACACTAGCTGTGAGACACTCTGTATATTGCAGAAATAGGAAAAAAGTCAATAAAGAATATACAATATTAGGTTACGCATCCACGCATCGAATCATCACGCGTTGAATTATCACGCATCGAATTACTACGTATCGAATTATCACGCATCGAATTACCACGTATCGAATTACTATCGCATCGAATTACTACGCGTTGAACTACCACGCATTGAATTACCACGTATCGAATTACCACGTGTCGAATTACCACGCGTCGAATTATTACACGTTTAACTACCACGCATCGAATTACCACGCGTCGAATTACCACGCG